GCCCGAAGGCTTTTTGGAGATCTCAGCTTCCAACCTTGTTTAAATGTAAAGACATTTCTTTAAAACTTCTTTGGGAATACATAGTTCCCTAATAACTTTGAGAAATGAACTCAACTTTAAACTCTTGACTCTTTACTCTTTTACTTGACTTCTAACGTCACTTGACTTGGAACTATCTTTCCTTGAATCGGAATTATGAATTCAAGGTGTTCGATCACATGTTATGGAGGGATTCTTGAAGCTTAGACGTACTTTGGAGTGTCGGAAACAACTATAAACATAGGTATAATACTTTGGAGCATGCATGAGAAAGTGGGAAAGAGATGGGGGAAACTTGGCTGAGACTTCAGATTTTTGGTGACACAGATGGCACTTACGGACGCCATCGACGGACCGTAGATGGACTCACGGTCCGTCCTGCAGGTTCGTAGATCGCGTCAGAAACTTCCCCGAATTCATTTTAAAAAAAAAGACTAAGTGTTGATCCACGGTCCGGACTTACGGTCCGTAGGTCGGGTTACGGACCGTGGGTCGTGCCCGTAGATCGATGCCCCAAAAACTCAACTTCTGTCCGTTTGACGGTTAGCCAGTACGGACCGTCAATCGATCTACGGTCCGTAGGTCACGTCCGTAGATGGGGATCGACAGCCCAAAACTTGTTGAGAATTGATGGTGAATCAACTTCAAAGAGTCATAACTCTTAGAATCGTAATTCCCTCAACATACCATAGGTTTCAACTTAAATACACAACCCAATCATGTCTCACAACGAACAATAACTTCAACAACACCACCAACAACATCAACAACAACTAACAACTTCAACACTTCAACAACAAATTCCAATCCTTTCTCAAATCATAGAATAAACTTAGTGTGTGTGAGGGAAAGGATCAACCCACACGAAAACTCACATACCTTGATAGGGATCACCCCCGACGAAAATCCACAATGATCTTGACAGTTCTTGTTGATCTCCTCTTTCTTCTCTTCTTCTTCTTCTTCTTCTCCTTTTCTCTTCTTCACTCTCAAGAACTCCAACTCCTTCTCTTAAAAAAAAGGGACAAAAAGATCCAAAGATCAGCCTAATACAACAATGTAATCTCAAAGAAAAAATTTGTGAAAAGACTAAAATGCCCTTAAATTTCCGGACGGATTTCCATTCCAACTGCCCAACTTCTAAAGGGCATAACTCCCTCATACGAACTCGGAATCGAGCAAACTCGGTGGCATTGGAAAGATCATTCCACAAGCTTCGAAACCATAGCTGGAACTACTCCTAAATCATCCTGAGCTAGGAGTTACGACTGCTCAAAGTTGGCCAAAAATCACTGATTTCCACACTTAGCCAAATTTCCAGATTTCAAGCTTCCTCAAAGCCACTTCAAATTGTCGGATGTTACAATATCTCCCCCTTGGGAACATTCGTCCTCGAATGAGGTTACTCTTACAAAGCTAAGGGTGTAACATCAATTCAAACACCCAACAAGCCACTATGCAAACACAACAACAACAACAACATGCTCATTATAATTAAAAGAGCACTAAGAAGGAAATTAATACCTTAATCTCATTCCTCCGGATTCAAAGAGATGTGGATATCTCTTCTTCATGTCCTCTTCGGCTTCCCAAGTAGCTCCCTCAACAAATTGGTTCCTCCATAGGACCTTTACTGAGGCTACATCTTTCGTTCTCAACCTACGAACTTGACGATCCAAAATTTGAACAGGAACCTCCCATAAGATAAGTTATCATTGATCTTTATACTTTTCAGTCGATAGGATCAATGAAGGATCGCCTATGCACTTCTTCAACATGGAGATGTGAAATACCGGATGAACTGCTGCTAGTTCTGTGGTAACTCCAACTCATAAGCAACATTGCCAATCCTCTTGGCTATGCGGTAAGGTCCAATATACCGGGGACTAAGTTTCCCCTTCTTACCAAACCTCATAACACCTTTCATGGGTGAAACCTTCAAATATACCCAATCATCTATTTCAAATTCCAACGCCCTTCTCCTAACATCGGTGTAGGATTTCTGACGACTCTGTGCTGTTTTCAACCTCTCTTGAATCACTTTCACCTTCTCCATAGCTTGGTGAACTAAATTTGGTCCTATCAACTGTGCTTCACCAACTTCAAACCATCCAATAGGAGATCTACATCTTCTCCCATAAAGAGCTTTATATGGAGCCATCTGGATGCTAGAGTGATAACTGTTGTTGTAGGCAAACTCAATGAGAGGTAGGTGATCATCCCAACTCCTTTGAAATCGATTACACAAGCCCTCAACATATCCTCTAAGGTCTGAATAGTGCGCTTTGCTTGCCCATCCGTCTGAGGGTGAAAGACAGTACTTAAGTTCACCTTTGAACCCAAGCCTTTCTGAAAAGATTTCCAGAACTGTGCACCTCTATCTGAAATAATGGAGATTGGGACTCCATGAAGTCTCACTATCTCTTGAACATACAACTTGGCATAATCTTCTGCTGTATTGGTAGTCTTTACCGGTAGAAAATGAGCTGACTTTGTCATTCTGTCGACAATCACCCAAATAGAATCATGTTGTCTGCGAGATCTTGGCAACCCTGTGATGAAATCCATATTGATCATCTCCCACTTCCACTCTGGAAGTTCTATCCTCTGAGCCAAACCACCGGGCCTTTGGTGTTCAACTTTCACTTGTTGACAATTTGGACACTTAGCAACAAACTCAGCAATGCCCTTCTTCATGCCATTCCACCAATAAACTTCTCGCAAATCGCGATACATCTTGGTGGAACCTGGATGAACGGAATATCTGGAGCTATGAGCTTCCTCCATAATCTTCTCTTGGAGTCCATCTACCATAGGTACACACAATCTACCTTGATATCTCAATGCACCATCTCCCCCTTGTTCAAAAGTTAATACTCTTTCTTCTGAACATTTTCCTTCAACTCAAGCAAAATGGGATCTTGATCTTGCTTCTTTTTCACTTCTAACACTAATGATGACTTGGCCCTATTCGCCATCCGCTATTCCTCCTTTTGCGGAATCTGTAAACTGACTCCCAGGCATGCCAGTCTGTGCACATCTTTTGCTAATCTCTCCTTCCTTCTTCAATATGGGCGATGCTACCCATAGACAACCTGCTTAAAGAATCAGCAACGACGTTAGCCTTACCTGGGTGGTAAAGAATACTAAGGTCATAGTCCTTGAGTAATTCTAACCACCTCCTCTGTCAGAGATTAAGCTCTTTCTGAGTAAGCACATATTGAAGGCTCTTGTGATCAGTGAATATGTCGACATGCACACCATACAAGTAATGACGCCATATCTTCAAAGCAAATACTACAGCAGCTAGCTCTAAGTCATGGGTTGGGTAGTTCTTCTCATGAACCTTCAACTGTCTGGAGGCATAAGCTATAACCTTGCCATTCTGCATTAAGACACAACCCAAACCAACTCTAGATGCATCACAATACACCACAAAACCTTGAGTACCTTCTGGTAGCGTCAAAACTGGAGCAGTAATCAACCTCTTTTTCAATCCTGAAAGCTTTTCTCACAAGCTTCAGACCATTGGAATTTCACCGTCTTCTGAGTCAACTTGGTCAAAGGAGATGCAATAGTCGAGAACCCTTCAACAAACCTTCTATAATAGCCAGCAACCCAAGAAACTCCTAATTTCAGTTGGAGATGTGGGTCTAGGCCAATTCTGCACTGCCTCAATTTTCCGAGTATCAACTTTAATTCCATCACCGGACACCAATGTGGCCTAAGGAACGCCACAGACTTAAGCCAAAACTCACACTTAGAGAATTGGCATATAACTCCTTGTCTTTCAAAGTCTGAAGAACTGTTCTGAGATGACTAGCATGATCTTCTTCATTCCTTGAATAGACTAGTATATCATCAATAAAGACAATAACAAACATATCTAAATAAGGTTGAAGACTCTATTCATCAAATCCATGAAAGCTGCAGGTGCATTAGTCAAACCAAAGGACATGACCAAAAACTCATAATGACCATACCTGGTTCTGAAAGCTGTCTTTGGGATATCACATTCCCTTACCCTTAACTGATGATAGCCTGATCGGAGGTCAATCTTTGAAAAACAAGCGGCACCCTGAAGCTGATCGAAAAGATCATCAATCCTCGGAAGAGGGTACTTGTTCTTGATGGTAACCTTGTTCAACTGGCGGTAGTCTATCACATTCTAAGGGAACCATCTTTCTTTTTCACAAACAAAACCGGAGCGCCCCAAGGGAGACACTTGGTCGAATGAAACCCTTTCTAGGAGATCTTTCAACTGCTCTTTCAACTCTTCTGCTGGTGCCATTCTATATGGCGGAATAGGATAGGACGAGTATCTGGAATAAGATCTATGCCGAAATCTATTTCTCTCTCAGGAGGAATTCCGGGTAGATCTCAGGAAAAACTTCTGGAAACTCTCTTACTATAGGAACCGACTGGAAATGAGGTATCTCAACACTAGAGTCATGAACTCGGACTAAGTGATAGATACAACCCTTCGAAACTAACTTTCTTGCCTTAAGGTACGAAATAAAACGACCCTTAGGCACTATGAATTGCCACTCCACTCTATGACTGGCTCATTTGGAAATTGAAACTTGACGGTTCGAGTTCTACAGTCAAATGATGCATAACAGGCATGAAGCCAATCCATACCTAGAATGACATCAAAATCTACCATGTCTAACTCAACCAAATCGGCCTTGGTGTTCTTGTGACTGATGAAACAGGACAATCACGATAGACTCTTTCTGCTAGAATAGATTCCCCAATAGGTGTAGAAACACCAAAGGGTTCACAAAGTCTTTCAGGAAGAACCTCAAACTGTTTTGCAACATAAGGAGTTACAAACGATAAACTTGCTCCTGGGTCTAGCAAAGCATACACATTAAAAGCAAAGACTTTAATCATACCAGTGACAACATTTGGAGAAGTCTCTTGCTCATGGCGACTGGTGATTGCATAAAGACGGTTTGCTACTCCACCGTACTAGAGGTAGCTCCTCTAGATGCCATCCTGTCTGGGGGAGCAGCTGGGGAAGATTGGGCCCTGCTGCCCAAATTTTCATTACTTTGCTTATTCTTAGGGCACTCCTTCATGAAGTGACCCTCTTGCCCACACCTAAAGCAACCTGTCTGGCCTTGACGACACTTCCCTGGATGAACTCTACCACATTTTGCACATGCAGGAAACGAATTACCTCCGCGTGCCACACTACCTGAAGACTGTGCTGGTGTAACCTTGAAGTCCTTCGAATTCCGGCCATTAAGTTCCCCTCTGTATCGGGGTGCTGGCGCCCTAGCAGATGATGTAGCAGGTCCCTTCTGCCTTTGCTGAAAGGAGGAACGGTTTGAATTACCTCTCTGCTGCCCGGACTCGTTCCCGATCTTAGCTCTCTTATTTCTGAACTCTTCTCTGTCCCTCAGCTTTTCTTCCTCAACCTGCTGTACATAGACCATTAATCTGGATATGTCCATGTCCCCGATAAGCATTGCAGCCCTACCTTCCTTACTCGACAACCGAGACAGCCCAGCAACAAACAAGCTCGTTCTATTCCTCATGTCCGCAACCATCTCCGGAGCATAGCGGGAAAGTTGGGTGAATTTCAGACTGTACTCATGAACACTCAAGGACTCCTGCTTAAGTGTGAGGAACTCACGTACCTTGGCCTCTTTCAATTCTCGAGGAAAGAAATGCCCCAAGAAAGCTTCTTCAAAACAGGCCCAACTCGCAGGTGGTGCATCCTCAACTCTGCCCCTTTCCATTGGTCGAACCAAGTTCTAGCTACATCCTTCAATTGATACGCAGCTAGTTCAACCCGCTCAGTATCTGACACATGCATCACATCAAAAATCTTCTTTAACTCCTCAATGAAATCCTCTGGATCCTCAGTAGTGCTCGAACCCATGAAACTCGGAGGATTCATTCCCAAGAACTCACGAATCCTAGAAGTGTCAGCTCCTTCCTGTCGAGCTCCCCTTTGCTGACCAATCTGATTAGCTACAGCTTGACTCAACATTCTAATTGCCTCTCTGAACTCGGCATTAGAAACTTCCCCTTGATCTTGCACTCTAGGTGCATCAGGTAACTCATGCTCATCAACATAACGTCTAGGAAGACGCCCTCTGCCAACTCTTCGTGGAGGCATGACTATCTGAAACACGCGCAAGCACGAATTAGAAAGAAACTTTTTAGAGATCAACTCTAACGCACGAATTGAGTGTGAAAGAAATGAGAAATCTTCCTAAATGTAGCAGCCTCCCAGTTATAGATGTGGCGCGCTTCACACCGATAACTAGGACTCTACAGACACGGCTTCATAGACTCCCTAGGACTCTTGAACTCTGTGCTCTGATACCAAGTTTGTCACGCCCCGAGCCTACACCCTGGGCGGGACCGGCACCCAGAGACCATTTCTGGCCCCAAGCGAACCCTTGGCCTGGCTTTCTTGACTCAGCGGAAACCTAACTCAACCGAATAACTCTATGCAATGCAATATTACAAACAACTTAACTTATAAGATATGGCCACAAAGGCAACTCTAATCTCAAACTGGAATATTTACATATATATATATAGATGAGAGACTCAAAACTAACTGACTGACTGTCTGTCTATGAAGCCTCTAAAATACTGAGATGGATGTGGGGACAGACCCCGCAACATCCTAATAAGACAAAACTAAGAACACAAAAATAATTGAGCCCTCCGGAATGCAAGGAGGCTCACCACTGACTCTGGAGTGCTCAGCTGGATCCGCGACGAGCAGGTTGCTGATTCGGGGTACCTGAATCTGCATCATCAAACGATGCAGGCCAACTGGCATCAGTACATGGAATGTACGAGTATGCAAGCGGGAAAGCCAAAACACAACTTAAGCTTGAAAGGAAAAATACAAGAGAACACTTACCTCGGCTCTGTACGACCGACTCATGACTAACTGAATTTAATATATGTAGCAATAAGACGCATGCAATATATATATATAGCTTGTAAAACAGTATAAACAACTCAACTGTACTTATATAAAAGTAAAATAATTACGTGGGAGGTTCTTTAACCGACAACCATCACTATGAGCCCTAGTGATGATACAACGCTTTACCTCGCGTTGCCAAGGACCATCCTATACCTTGCCGTGATATAGGAAGCTAACTTTTACTTAGTGGATCCACTAGCTTAACTTTCGTGATCATCTAAAAAGTATGATCCGAGAAATCCCATGTTGGCGCATGGTTCTTATGGAGAGTTGAGTAAATCAGAACTCGTGTCCCCAATTCGGTGCTCAATACTACTCCCAAAAATACTTTGGCTCATGCTTTTTAAACAACTTCTTTCTTAAGTTCGAGATAATTACTCAAAGCTTAGCCCAAAGGCTCTTTTGGAATTAATGTTCCCTTTCTTTGCTCAAATGTGTAAAAACATTTATAAACTCTTAGGGAATACTTAGTCCCCTAATAACCCCTTTTTCTCCCCCTTGTTTTTTTAAAAAAAAAAAGGAACTCAACTTTAATCTCATGACTTTACTTGAAACTGAGACTCTTACTCGACTTGAAACTCTATACTCTTTTACTTGACCTCTAACTTCATTTGACTTAAAACTATCTTCCCTTGAATCGGAATTATGAATTCAAGGTGTTCAATCACATGTTATGGAGGGATTCTTGAACGCTTAGACGTACTTTGGAGTATCGGAAACAACGATACAACATAGATATAATACTTAAGAACATGCATGAGAAAGTGAGAAAAGAATGGGGGAAACTTGGCTGAGACTGCAGATTTCTGGTGCTACAGATGGCATCTACGGACGCCATCGACGGACCGTAGATGGACTTACGGTCCGTACTGCAGGTCCGTGGATCGCGTCAGAGATTTTTCCCCAGAATTCATTTAAGAAAAGAAATATGACCAAGTGTTGACCTACGGTCCTGACTTACGGTCCGTAGGTCAAGTCACGGACCGTAGGTCGCGACCGTAGATCGACGCCCCAAAAACCTAACTCCTGATCCGATTGACGGTTGACCAGTACGGACCGTCGATCGATCTACGGTCCGTAGGTCAGTCCCGTAGATGGGGATCGACAGCCCAGAAATTTCTGCAAATCGATGGTGGATCAACCTTTAAAGGGTCATAGCTCTTAGAATCATAATCCCCTCAACATATAATAGGTTTCAACTTAATGCACAACCCAATCTAGCCTCACAACGAACCATAACTTCAACAACCTCAACAACAATATCAACAACAACTAACAACTTCGACACTTAAACAACAATTCCCAATCTTTTCTCAAAGCATAGAATAAACTTGGTGTGTGTGAGGGAAAGGATCAACCCACACGAAAAACTCACATACCTTGATAGGGATCACCCCCGACGAAAATCCACAATGATCTTGTTGATCTCCTCTTTCTTCTCTTCTTCTTCTTCTCTCCTTCTTCAATCTCAAGAACCCTAACTCTTTTCTTTCAAAATGGGGCAAAAATGATCCAAAGATCATCCTAATACAACAATATGAGCTCAAAAGAATTGTCTAGGGAAAAGACTAAAATGCCCTTAATGATTCCCGGACGGATTTCCTTGTCAACTGCCCAACTTTCAAAGGTCATAACTCCCTCATACGAACTCGGAATCGAGCAAACTCGGTGGCGTTGGAAAGGTCGTTCCACGAACTTTGCAACCATAACTGGAATTCCACCTAACTCATCCTGAGCTAGAATTTATGGCTGTTCAAAGTTAGCCAAAATTTCACATTTTCCATACTTAGCCAAAATTTCCAAAACTTTAAATTCTTTCCAAAAAATGAAAATTTCCAATTCTAAGCCTCTTCAATTATTTCATATTACCGGATGTTACAATATCTCCCCCTTGGGAACATTCGTCCTCGAATGAGGTTGCTCTTACAAAACTAAGGGTGTAACATCTAACTCAAACACTCAACAAGCAATTATGCAAACAACAACAATAACGATATGCTCATTATAATTTAAAGGGCACTAAGAAGGAAATTAATACCTTAATCCGCATTCCCTCCGGATTCAAAAAGATGCGGATATCTCTTCTTCATGTCCTCTTCGTCTTCCCAAGTGGCTTCCTCAACAAATTGGTTCCTCCAAAGGACCTTGACTGACGCCACATCTTTCGTTCTCAACCTACGAACTTGGCGATCTAAAATCTGAACCGGCACTTCCTCATAAGATAAGTTATCCTTGATCTTAACACTTTCAGTCGGTAGGATCAATGAAGGATCACATATGCACTTTTTCAACATAGAGATGTGAAATACCGGATGAACCGCTGCTAGCTCTTGGGATAACTCCAACTCATAAGCAACATTGCCAATCCTCTTGGTTATGCGGTAAGGTCCAATATACCGGGGACTGAGTTTCCCCTTCTTACCGAACCTCATAACGCCTTTCATGGGTGAAACCTTCAAATATACCCAATCGTCTACTTCAAACTCTAATGCCCTTCTCCTAACATCAGTGTAGGATTTCTGACGACTCTGTGCCGTTTTCAATCTCTCTTGAATCACTTTCACTTTCTCCATAGCTTGGTGAACTAGATCTGGTCCTATCAACTGTGCTTCACCAACTTCAAACCATCCGATAGGAGATCTACATCTTCTCCCATAAAGAGCTTCATATGGAGCCATCTGGATGCTAGAGTGATAACTGTTGTTGTAAGCAAATTCAATTAGAGGTAGGTGATCATCCCAATTACCTTTGAAATCGATCACACAAGCCCTCAACATATCCTCTAAGGTCTGAATAGTGCGCTCTGCTTGCCCATCCGTCTGAGGGTGAAAGGCAGTACTTAAGTTCACCTTTGAACCCAAGCCCTTCTGAAAAGATTTCCAGAACTGTGCAGTAAATTGTGCACCTCTATCTGAGATAATGGAGATTGGGACTCCATGAAGTCTCACTATCTCTTGAACATACAACTTGGCATAATCTTCTGCTGTATTGGTAGTCTTTACCGGTAGAAAATGAGCTGACTTTGTCATTCTGTCGACAATCACCCAAATAGAATCATGTTGTCTGCGAGACCTTGGCAACCCTGTGATGAAATCCATATTGATCATCTCCCACTTCCACTCTGGAAGTTCTATCCTCTGAGCTAAACCACCGGGCCTTTGGTGTTCAACTTTCACTTGTTGGCAATTTGGACACTTAGCAACAAACTCAGCAATGCCCTTCTTCATGCCATTCCACCAATAAACTTCTCGCAAATCGCGATACATCTTGGTGGAACCTGGATGAACGGAATATCTGGAGCTATGAGCTTCCTCCATAATCTTCTCTTGGAGTCCATCTACCATGGGTACACACAATCTACCTTGATATCTCAATGCACCATCTCCCCCTTGTTCAAAAGTTAATACTCTTTGCTTCTGAACATTTGCCTTCAACTCAAGTAAAATGGGATCTTGATCTTGCTTCTTTTTCACTTCTAACACTAATGATGACTCGGCCCTATTCGCCACCGCTATTCCTCCTTTTGCGGAATCTGTAAATCTGACTCCCAGGCATGCCAGTCTGTGCACATCTTTTGCTAACTCTCTCCTTCCTTCTTCAATATGGGCGGTGCTACCCATAGACAACCTGCTTAAAGAATCAGCTACGACGTTAGCCTTACCTGGGTGGTAAAGAATACTCATGTCATAATCCTTGAGTAACTCTAACCACCTCCTCTGTCTGAGATTAAGCTCTTTCTGAGTAAGCACATATTGAAGGCTCTTGTGATCAGTGAATATGTCGACATGTACACCATACAAGTAATGACGCCATATCTTCAAAGCAAATACTACAGCAGCTAGCTCTAAGTCATGGGTTGGGTAGTTCTTCTCATGAACCTTCAACTGTCTGGAGGCATAAGCTATAACTTTGCCATTCTGCATTAAGACACAACCCAAACCAACTCTAGATGCATCACAATACACCACAAAACCTTGAGTACCTTCTGGTAGTGTCAAAACTGGAGCAGTAATCAACCTCTTTTTCAAATCCTGAAAGCTTTTCTCACAAGCTTCAGACCATTGGAATTTCACTGCCTTTTGAGTCAACTTGGTCAAAGGAGATGCAATAGTCGAGAACCTTTCAACAAACCTTCTATAATAGCCAGCTAATCCCAAGAAACTCCTAATTTCAGTTGGAGATGTGGGTCTAGGCCAATTCTGCACTGCCTCAATTTTCCGAGTATCAACTTTAATTCCATCACCGGACACCATGTGGCCTAGGAACGCCACAGATTTAAGCCAAAACTCACACTTAGAGAACTTGGCATACAACTCCTTGTCTTTCAAAGTCTGAAGAACTGTTCTGAGATGACTAGCATGATCTTCTTCATTCCTTGAATAGACTAGTATATCATCAATAAAGACAATAACAAACATGTCTAAATAAGGTTCGAAGACTCTATTCATCAAATCCATGAAAGCTGCCGGTGCATTAGTCAAACCAAAGGACATGACCAAAAACTCATAATGACCATACCTGGTTCTAAAAGCTGTCTTTGGGATATCACATTCCCTTACCCTTAACTGATGATAGCCTGATCGGAGGTCGATCTTTGAAAAACAAGTGGCACCCTGAAGCTGATCGAAAAGATCATCAATCCTCGGAAGAGGGTACTTGTTCTTGATGGTAACCTTATTCAACTGGCGGTAATCTATGCACATTCTAAGGGAACCATCTTTCTTTTTCACAAACAAAACCGGAGCGCCCCAAGGTGAGACACTTGGTCGAATGAAACCCTTATCTAGGAGATCTTTCAACTGCTCTTTCAACTCTTTCAACTCTGCTGGTGCCATTCTATATGGCGGAATAGAGATAGGACGAGTATCTGGAATAAGATCTATGCCGAAATCTATTTCTCTCTCAGGAGGAATTCCGGGTAGATCATCAGGAAAAACTTCTGGAAACTCTCTTACTATAGGAACCGACTGGAAATGAGGTATCTCAACACTAGAGTCATGAACTCGGACTAAGTGATAGATACAACCCTTCGAAACTAACTTTCTTGCCTTAAGGTACGAAATAAAACGACCCTTAGGCACTGATGAATTGCCACTCCACTCTATGACTGGCTCATTTGGAAATTGAAACTTGACGGTTCGAGTTCTACAGTCAAATGATGCATAACAGGCATGAAGCCAATCCATACCTAGAATGACATCAAAATCTACCATGTCTAACTCAACCAAATCGGCCTTGGTGTTCTTGTGACTGATGGAAACAGGACAATCACGATAGACTCTTTCTGCTAGAATAGATTCCCCAATAGGTGTAGAAACACCAAAGGGTTCACAAAGTCTTTCAGGAAGAACCTCAAACTGTTTTGCAACATAAGGAGTTACAAACGATAAACTTGCTCCTGGGTCTAGCAAAGCATACACATTAAAAGCAAAGACTTTAATCATACCAGTGACAACATTTGGAGAAGTCTCTTGCTCATGGCGACTGGTGATTGCATAAAGACGGTTTGCTACTCCACCGTACTAGAGGTAGCTCCTCTAGATGCCATCCTGTCTGGGGGAGCAGCTGGGGAAGATTGGGCCCTGCTGCCCAAATTTTCATTACTTTGCTTATTCTTAGGGCACTCCTTCATGAAGTGACCCTCTTGCCCACACCTAAAGCAACCTGTCTGGCCTTGACGACACTTCCCTGGATGAACTCTACCACATTTTGCACATGCAGGAAACGAATTACCTCCGCGTGCCACACTACCTGAAGACTGTGCTGGTGTAACCTTGAAGTCCTTCGAATTCCGGCCATTAAGTTCCCCTCTGTATCGGGGTGCTGGCGCCCTAGCAGATGATGTAGCAGGTCCCTTCTGCCTTTGCTGAAAGGAGGAACGGTTTGAATTACCTCTCTGCTGCCCGGACTCGTTCCCGATCTTAGCTCTCTTATTTCTGAACTCTTCTCTGTCCCTCAGCTTTTCTTCCTCAACCTGCTGTACATAGACCATTAATCTGGATATGTCCATGTCCCCGATAAGCATTGCAGCCCTACCTTCCTTACTCGACAACCGAGACAGCCCAGCAACAAACAAGCTCGTTCTATTCCTCATGTCCGCAACCATCTCCGGAGCATAGCGGGAAAGTTGGGTGAATTTCAGACTGTACTCATGAACACTCAAGGACTCCTGCTTAAGTGTGAGGAACTCACGTACCTTGGCCTCTTTCAATTCTCGAGGAAAGAAATGCCCCAAGAAAGCTTCTTCAAAACAGGCCCAACTCGCAGGTGGTGCATCCTCAACTCTGCCCCATTTCCATTGGTCGAACCAAGTTCTAGCTACATCCTTCAATTGATACGCAGCTAGTTCAACCCGCTCAGTATCTGACACATGCATCACATCAAAAATCTTCTTTAACTCCTCAATGAAATCCTCTGGATCCTCAGTAGTGCTCGAACCCATGAAACTCGGAGGATTCATTCCCAAGAACTCACGAATCCTAGAAGTGTCAGCTCCTTCCTGTCGAGCTCCCCTTTGCTGACCAATCTGATTAGCTACAGCTTGACTCAACATTCTAATTGCCTCTCTGAACTCGGCATTAGAAACTTCCCCTTGATCTTGCACTCTAGGTGCATCAGGTAACTCATGCTCATCAACATAACGTCTAGGAAGACGCCCTCTGCCAACTCTTCGTGGAGGCATGACTATCTGAAACACGCGCAAGCACGAATTAGAAAGAAACTTTTTAGAGATCAACTCTAACGCACGAATTGAGTGTGAAAGAAATGAGAAATCTTCCTAAATGTAGCAGCCTCCCAGTTATAGATGTGGCGCGCTTCACACCGATAACTAGGACTCTACAGACACGGCTTCATAGACTCCCTAGGACTCTTGAACTCTGTGCTCTGATACCAAGTTTGTCACGCCCCGAGCCTACACCCTGGGCGGGACCGGCACCCAGAGACCATTTCTGGCCCCAAGCGAACCCTTGGCCTGGCTTTCTTGACTCAGCGGAAACCTAACTCAACCGAATAACTCTATGCAATGCAATATTACAAACAACTTAACTTATAAGATATGGCCACAAAGGCAACTCGAATCTCAAACTGGAATATTTACATATATATATATAGATGAGAGACTCAAAACTAACTGACTGACTGTCTGTCTATGAAGCCTCTAAAATACTGAGATGGATGTGGGGACAGACCCCGCAACATCCTAATAAGACAAAACTAAGAACACAAAAATAATTGAGCCTCCGGAATGCAAGGAGGCTCACCACTGACTCTGGAGTGCTCAGCTGGATCCCGACGAGCAGGTTGCTGATTCGGGGTACCTGAATCTGCATCATCAAACGATGCAGGCCAACTGGCATCAGTACATGGAATGTACGAGTATGCAAGCGGGAAAACCAAAACACAACTTAAGCTGAAAGGAAAATACAAGAGAACACTTACCTCGGCTCTGTACGACTCATGACTAACTGAATTTAATATATGTAGCAATAAGACGCATGCTATAAATTATGTATACGTAAAACAGTATAAAAATACTCAACTGTACTTATATAAAAAGGTAAAATAAATACGTGGGAGGTTCTTAACCGACAACCATCACTATGAGCCTAGTGATGATACACGCTTTACCTCGCGTTGCCAAGGACATCCTATACCTTGCCGTGATATAGGAAGCTAACTTTTACTTAGTGGATCCACTAGCTTAACTTTCGTGATCATCTAAAAAGTATGATCCGAGAAATCCCATGGTGGCGCATGGTTCTTATGGAGAGTTGAGTAATCAGAACTCGTGTCCCCCAATTCGGTGCTCATACTACTCCCAAAAATACTTTGGCTCATGCTTTTTTAAAACAACTTCTTTCTTAAGTTCGAGATAATTACTCAAAGCTTAGCCCAAGGCTCTTTTGGAATTAATGTTCCCTTTCTTTGCTCAAATGTAAAAACATTTCTTTAAAACTTCTTGGGAATACATAGTTCCCTAATAACTTTGAGAAATGAACTCAACTTTAAACTCTTGACTCTTTACTCTTTTACTTGACTTCTAACTTCACTTGACTTGAAACTATCTTTCCTTGAATCGGAATTATGAATTCAAGGTGTTCGATCACATGTTATGGAGGGATTCTTGAAGCTTAGACGTACTTTGGAGTGTCGGAAACAACTATAAACATAGGTATAATACTTTGGAGCATGCATGAGAAAGTGGGAAAGAGATGGGGGAAACTTGGCTGAGACTTCAGATTTTTGGTGACACAGATGGCACTTACGGACGCCATCGACGGACCGTAGATGGACTCACGGTCCGTCCTGCAGGTTCGTAGATCGCGTCAGAAACTTCCCCCGAATTCATTTAAAAAAAAAAGACTAAGTGTTGATCCACGGTCCGAACTTACGGTCCGTAGGTCGGGTTACGGACCGTGGGTCGTGCCCGTAGATCGATGCCCCAAAAACTCAACTTCTGTCCCGTTTGACGGTTAGCCAGTACGGACCGTCAATCGATCTACGGTCCGTAGGTCACGTCCGTAGATGGGGATCGACAGCCAAAACTTGTTGAGAATTTGTGAAAAGACTAAAATGCCCTTAAATTTCCGGACGGATTTCCATTCCAACTGCCCAACTTCTAAAGGGCATAACTCCCTCATACGAACTCGGAATCGAGCAAACTCGATGGTGTTGGAAAGATCATTCCACAAGCTTCGAAACCATAGCTGGAACTACTCCTAAATCATCATGAGCTAGGAGTTACGACTGCTCAAAGTTGGCCAAAAATCACTGATTTCCACACTTAGCCAAATTTCCAGATTTCAAGCTTCCTCAAAGCCACTTCAAATTGTCGGATGTTACAAAAACATACCATCTAAACCATAGAACATCTAAAAAATTACATAAATTTATTGTCAGGTACAACCCCCCCCCCCCCCCCATAAAAAGTAAAATAATAAATAAATTTATGATATCCTACTTCAATGAAAGAAGAAAGTTAATTTTTTAAGATAATCGAAAAAATTATTTTTCAAAAAAAATTACAATTATTTAACATTTCCGAGTGCAATTCCAATACATAATCGGAGTTGGCAGATTACTTGCATCGGAAAATCTACATTTATTTTATTACGGAATTTATTTCTTTCAAAAATCTTTCTATTATCTCTCCACTCTATTCCATTCATCGATTAGATTACCTTATGATGAAGACGGTAGAAGGATTTAGGTAATTTTTTCATTCAACTGATAAGAGGTTTAAATATTTTGCATATCTCCAATTGAAACTCTAAAGTTATTCCTTACGATTGCAAAAACATTTTCATAGGCTGGAATATTTGTAAAATTATTCTTTTCGGACTTGGTTTTTGAAAGGTTTCAATCTTTTGGGTGGATAAAGATAGCGAAGAGAATTTTTCAAGACAAGATAAATAAAACTATTCAGGAATAAATCTAAAAGCTCTGATACCATGTGGAATAACATAGTTGGTGTTGGATTTTAAAGGTGTGAACAAGAAATGAAGGGTTGTGACCTTTAAGAAAGGTTGTGTCTTTTCTAAAGGGTTGTGACCATTTGAAAGGTTGTGCCTTTTTCCAAAGTGTTGTGACATTTCTGAAAGGTTGTCTTCTTTCCAAAGAGTTGTGACATTTACCCATTGTTGGCTATAAATAGAGAAACTTTATCTCATTTTTCTGGATTGAATTCTTCCTTTCTTCTGCATACATTTCTTACAAAACAAAATCGATCGATCGTGTCTGTATGTGTGATTCGTTGCTGTCATTTTGAGTTCGTTGAAATTATTGAGGTTTGAGGTACCACTACTTCTTTAATGGTTAATTCGTTTTATCTTGGGAGGAATTATCTGCAAACTCAGGTACTTGTGGGGATTAAATTTCTTAAGAACACACAATGAGTTATGTGGACTCGGATAGTTCTTTTCTTTTTCTTTTCATCTTTTATTATTTCTGGTTTGATAATTTGAATACATGAAATAACAAGCTTAAGAAATTTAAATTGTTGGTATTTTCTGTGGTAACGAAATTACTTTTATTTTCTGTGTTCCTTTTATTGGGAAAAACAAGATGAAAAAGAGAATTATTCTATCATATGATAAAAGAGATTTGGGATGAATTAGTACTACTTTAATATGTTCGAGTATATTTTCTGTAGTATGCTTTCCTTGGATGGGTAAGATTATTTTTATTTTCTTCCCAAGTGCATTGAAGCAATTCACTCGTTCAGTTTTCTTTTCAATAAGAAAGGTTATTCTATGCATAAATGTTAAGATATGCACTTTAATTTTTTCCATATATTCTTGGTTTTATATAACTATGAGAATAAGTAAATGAACAGATGTTGTCTCCTAACAATATTTGAACATGAGTTTAGTTTCTCGTTGAAATTCATTGTCTTCTAAGGAAAATTAGAATATGATGGAAATTGGGAAAGAAAGAAAAAATAATAGCAAGAAAAGTGACTTGCATGGAATCATTGCTGACAGATAGAATATGATTCAATGAGAGTAAAAATCAGGTTCTATCTTTATTTCCCTTGATTATTATTTTTCTATCCTTTATAAGTTATGAGATTTATTTCATAAATGTTAGGACAGATGATCATTATGTGATGGTTTCAAAATATATTTTTATTATTATTAATATGTATTCTGTTTAGAGGAGGAAAAAAGACTTTTGTAGTTTTCTACTCCATGTGAAATTTGATTGTGTCTGACTTTTGGAGACTAAAATCTTCTAATATTGTATTCCTTTGGTTTGAAGAATATAAGAACTTTACGGACAAATTAGATTGTGCACTAGTTTGAAGAATATAGAAACTTCACCAATTTGTTAAATACTCTGTTAGAATGAATGTTATGACTTGAAGAGTACAAAATTTTCGTCAGAAATGTTAAGGCTAAATGATTAGAAAAAGATAAAATCTTCATCATTAGCTAGAAACAGTGTTGTATTTGAGATTTCTAGAGATTAAAACATTTTTGGTTTGCTACTCTGTCTGAATGTGAAACTGATTCGAAGAATATAAAAACTTCATCAGAATTCAAGGTTCATTCGGTTAACGATTAGAAGAATATAAAAACTTTATCGTTAAACTAGAAACAAGTTGTATAAAGATTGATTTTTTATTGTTAATATTCTAAATACGAAATGGTTTGTCTAATTGTGATAGAAAGGGAAAAAAATACTAATGACATAAAATTAGTGATTTTTGTGCTTGTACTGGGTGTTTCTATGGATTAAATCTCCAAAAGAAGGCTTCGTGTTGCCAATGTTTGTTTTAATGGTATACAATTTGAAAGCATGGGAAAAAATATGTGGAAAATAATTTCAAATACTTGAAAACTATTTTTGAGAACATATTTAAAATGAGGGGGGTTCTTTACTTGTGATAAAGACAAAATTAGACTTACTATCTAATTTAAATTTCAAAGTACAAGATATGAAATTTAATGACGTTCTTGTATTATGTTAGACCCATAAAATTATTGAAGTACATTTGATATTGTGGTCGTTGAGTCTCTGTTTACTAGTATATGATATGACTAGTATAAAATCACAAAATTATATTACTCGTACAAAAGAATTGTATTCTTTGATGAAATAGTGTCACTTAAAATATTGTGAATTTTCATGAAAAGATATGTCTATTTGTATAGACATGAACATTGGTGAAAAGTGATTTGTTATGTTTGTGTTGTAAAACAAACATTTGGGTCATATTGCCCTTATTGGACTGATGAGACTATGATCATGGGTAATTCTATAACAAATTGAATGTTATGGAAATGTCCTTCTGCAAAGGACATCTGGCAAGGTGCTGACTCTAAAACAATGTTTGTATTTGACAAAGTTATAAAAAGTAAAGAACAAAATATATGTAGGAAAAAGTTATGTAATGACCCAGAAATCTAGTAGGTGAAACTAGAGCCTAATGAATTAGTTTTTGAGTTTGATATGGGGTTTGAAGTTGTGAAATATCTTCCCGATCTTAGGTTGAGGAGTTTAGGGGTTAAACATCAAGGTACGCCCCCCCAAGGACCAACCAAGGGTCCTTGAGAGGGACCCTAAAGTCTAACCCCCAAAGCTGTCAAAAAAGTTGTGACCCACGGATGGGACCTACGCCTCGTAGGTCCATCCACACCCCTTGGATGGCTTCCGTGGGTCAAGGCCCAAAATGGTGACCCTCATACCCAAACCATGGACCAGAAGGACGGGGCGTCACCCCACCTACGGTCCGTAGGTCATGGGTCGTAGGTCACCACTAGTTTGCTGTCAAGTTTCGGCCAAGGAAAGGGCAAGGTGGTAAATTCCTTTTTAGGTGAGTTAAGTTAGAGGACGGTTATTATTGATTAACTAAAGTATTTTAAGGCTTTTAAAAGTATTAAAACACCTTTTCTAATTCATTATTCCCAAACACAAATTAGAAACTACCTTTCCTCTCCAAATATTCTCTCTCTAGAAACTA